TCGGTGACAGGAAAGGGTGTGGCATGATTGCTGTTGATGTTTAGATTTTTTTTTCCTGGCTCTCCCGATAGGCCAAAAATTTTTTGCCATTTCCCACATTTCTTTTTGACTCTTTTCTTTGCAGTTTCCGTGCCGCTTTTTTTAATACCTATTTTGCGAACATTCAGAATTGTTCCGCTAGTGAAGCAAGAAATCAAATTCGGTATCTTCTACACAGTTTTCTCTTTTTGAGAAGTGTTAGCACTCGACAGCATATGCGAATGGTGCTCGCTTGCTGACAAGGCTGTTAATGGCTTTTTCTTTCGAGGGTTGCTTACAACAAGCTCATAACGGTATTAACTTCCTGGTACACGTCATTATCAGATTCAGCATGAACGAATTTTCTTCAATAAATTTAAGGTTTTGAAAACATATTTTCCAGGTTCCTGTTCTGCACACCACTATGAACGTCGAGCATCGTGCCCCTCCCGCACAGCAGCAGCAGCATCAAAACTTACAGCACGGCCAAGTTGCTCCACACCAGCAAGAATCCATCTTGCCTGATGCTGTGTTGCCAGATATTGGTATAACTTCCAACACTGTTTCGACAGCTCCGGAACCAGTGAACACAGGGTCCTCGTTGCCAGAACAGGCAAGAAACTCGCCAGAAATTGATTTGAGTGGCACGGATTTTGCCCAGTCTACAACCGATTCTGCCGTGCCCAGTAATCTCCCATCTACGAGAACATCCTCGGAACAGACGCCGCAGGTTGAAATGCTGCCACCAGTGAATATTATGAATATTCCGCCACCAGCGCAACTCAGTGCACCGCACTCTGGTTCTAATAGCACTGCAGCGCCACCACCTCCATCTGTTACACCTGCGGCAACAGCTGTGCCGTTGTCCGGAATTCCTCCAGCTGCAGTCCCCTCTCCAGCTAGAATCCCTCCAGAAACAGACCGACCATTGTACAAAAACCCTGTAGAACCATTGCCACCATCTTCCAACATTCTACCTGTCGCAACGCCTCCACCGCTTCAGATTCCTCCCGAAGCAACACCGTCGTCTGCCGGAATTCTGTTAGAAACAGTTCCACAGTCTTCAGCAGTATCTCTGGAAACATCTTCGTCTTTATCTGAAATTTCTTCGGGATCAGCTCCTGTTCCACCGCCTAATTTTCATCCATCATCAAATCCTTCGTCTCCTGGTGCCCCTCCAGAAACTACAGACCGATCATCAGCACCAGCAGTACAGCTCGAACCCGAATCAGTGTCTTATTCACCACCAACACATTCACCACCTTCACCGCATGCATCGGCCACTTTGTCTTCGCAGCCATCAGCCGATGCTACTTCGCCAGTACCGTCAGCTTATTCGTCGCCACCGTCATCCGTTTCAGCTCCTTCCAGTGCTGAACCAGTACCACCACCAGCAGTTCAGGTTACTGCAGCACCACCGCAGCACACTTCAGCCATACCAACTGTGACACCTTCACCCACCGCTGCCAGTTTGTCACCTGCACCAGCTGTAGCACCTGATACAACGAATTTGGCTGCACAGAGACAAGATACAAAGCAAGCAACCAACGAAGCAGCATCGATTCCTTTAGCGCATGAGGTACCACCAGTCGCATCGGCGGATGAACGCGTACCACCTCCAGATCCTGTTCCATCAGCCATTGAAAGTCGGTCAGCATCTCAAGCAGCAGAGACCCAGCAACGAAAGGTACGCTAAGTGCACTTCCTTCTACACCTTCCCATGCATCGCACTGTCATTATAAAATCACTCCTCTCTGCTTGTCATCTGTAAAAATTGGCCAACGCACGCGCTGCCCGTGCAAAGATGCGTTTTTTGCATGGTTCCCCGCAGTTTTTGTTGCTACCGGCACCGGTT